CAATCCATTTGCAATATCATCCATTAACCCTGTAGTAAAAGCCATCTGTTTACAGCTTTCAAAGAAAGGGGGAGGGGGAGACAGAAAGAAGTAGTTTGTGATTCTGAATATGGGGGGGGGGGAACCAACACACCCTGGGAGGTGAATTCCCTCTTTTTCAGAACGCTCCACTCATCCAATTATGCCAATTCTTCTAAAATCCACCATATTTTCTATTTGGCCTTATAAAATTGTGATCCAACCATTGTTTCTTATCCCAGATCAGCTTGGAACATTAAGGAAAGCATGTTTTTTTTCCCAGCTTTCTCTCTCTTTTTGACACTTGTACCAAAACTGGGATACATAGTAATCAATCTATAAAACCATTAAAATAACAGAGTGGCAAGATGTAAACACAGCAGCGATCATTTGGAATTTGGTCTCAGGGCTGAATATATTTGTAATTTGGCTTGAATAAAGGATGTACTTCATATAAGATATTAAAATATTATCTAAGTAGGTGATCCATAATGAAATGAATCCAAGGCTTCCTTTTCTCAGAGAACAGGAATCTTTGGATCTCTTTTCATATTCTTAGGCTGCAATCACATTGCCTGAGAAGAAACTCCACTGAACAGAGACTTACATCTGATTAGATATTTAAAGGTTCACATTGTCCTTTTCCTTCCTTTCATATTACTGGCTTCAGGAATCTCAGATTATTCACATCTCTACACCAACTCTGAAGAAAAGCTGTTCCAATAGTCCACAACTGTTGACTTTTTCAGTTCTATAATTCAAGCTATTGTCAGGCTGAAAAAACAAGATTGACAAGAACTATTGTCCTGACACAACTTGAGGACATCCTTCGCTCCTTCCCCATGGCGTTTGTCAAAGAAGAGGCTGCAACCTAATTACTGGTCAGTCTGACAAGCCAGCTGGATTTCTGCCTGGAGCAGCAGCTGTAGATTTCTGTCAGGTCTGCAGAAACAAACCCCACTGCCTCCATGAAGTGAGCCAATCCCACACAAAGCTCTCCTAAGTTGCAACAAGTCAAACAGCTGGCATTCATTAACAATCTGGCACAAACCTTACCTCAAAACAGCAAACAGTCCAAACTGGCGCTACAAGCTTAGAGGCTCAGATCAGGCCTTGGACTGAGGCTGCTCCCTTGCTCAAACTCTTAAGTTAGAGGCTTCCCACCCTGCTTGGTCTTGCATCCACCAAGAGTTCATGTTCTTGTTAATTGACTCTTTCAAGTGTTATTGGATTAGGAAGTGGTAACAGACGCAGATTTGCTCCACTGGTGAGACCAAAGAAACTAGCTGTGCTACATCCATAATGGTCGTTTAAGCAGCTTCCTCTCTGGGCTTCAGGAAACTCAGCAATTTACAGCACTGTATCCAAGACTATCCAATGAATGGACCAACAGGTATGGAGGAACTATTCCACAAGGCAGCCTATGTTTACTACTAATTCTCTGGGTGTGTGCAGCACAAAGGTGTGTGAGGCACACTGTAAAGGGCACCCCCTACCTCTCCATTTGTGATGACATTCAACCTGTGCTCTATCCAGATAAAAACCTTGCAACAGAAATGCAAAAAGATTCTGGGCAAATCTGCCAGGGGTTCTTTGGAAATCATGAGAAAGAACTCCCAAGAAAAAGGCTGAAGCAAGCCCATGATGCATCCGCTGTTCACAAAGCAAAAATCATGTCCAAAATACAGATTCTCCAAGTAGGATGCAGAGGAACCATGGAGAAGTAATACACAGAAAAGATGGGTAGAAGCACACTCCAGTTCAAGAAATAGGCAGTTGGCACCCCCCCCCCCCAACTTGCTCAAGGAGTCCAACCCCTGCCTTCTCACAGATTGTCACTTCTCCCTATCCCCATTTCAGGTTAGGTTTCCATGTAACGCATTTGAGATGTTTCCAAAGTCAATGGTGAAAATGCAAGGGATTTGTGGGCAATTTGCTTTGTACTGAAAGGTAAGAGGTGGGACGTTACCATCAAAGCAGCAGGAGGAGCAGCATTCTTCCCTCTCTTACTTTTTCCTATGAGATGCAGAGCACAGAAGGACGCAGATGTAGTAAGAATCATTCACACAGAAACTCTCGGTGCTTCAGTGATTGCTTTGCTATAGGACAGGTTTAATAAGAAAAAGGGAAGATTTCCCCCCTAGAAAGAAAGGGGGAAAAAAGAGAAGGAAGAATGAATGCAAAGGAAGGACAGACAAGGAGGAGAAAAAAGAGAAAAGCAATTGTCAAGAAAGTAAAGGAAGACTTAAAAAAAAAAAACCTGCAGATATACAATTCTTGTAAAACCCCACCACCATCTGGATAATTTAGGATCATTGCCAACAGTGTTTGTTGCATATTTAACCAGTCAGAGATGTAAAAAAAAAAATCTCAAAACATCCTGCCATAATGATGTTAACCAAACTGAATACTTCCATTGACAAAATTAGGTCATGGCACTCAATCGCTTTTATGTGGCCTTTGAATAATGATGGAGGAAGCACCAGCACCCCTGAGATCCATGTCTGCCCAACCCAACTTTCTCCTATCTGGGCCCTCCAGATGTGTTAGACTCCAACACACAGATGTTTTAGTTAACAATGATTCTGGCTTTTGTTGTCTAAAACATCTGAAAAGGACCAGATTGAGGAAGGCTGAGGTATTTCCAGCCATTAAAAATTGCAATTAAATGACCATATCCCATCCTATGCTGCAAAAGAAAACAAGTTTTTAAAAAGATAGTAGTTTAACTAGCTAGCCCCCACTAAGTACAGTACTTGCCTTCTTGTTAAGCCATTAGTAGAAACTATTAGCAAAGTCTGCCCAGATATAAAATCTGAGCTACAGCACATATAGCAAGATGAGTATAACCGAATGATTCCCAAACCTTATGGACTATAGTCTGCCTTCAAAAAGTCCTCATATTGGGTGATTCAAGCAGAGGGCCCCAAGGCAGCATTTTGCAGATCTACGTGTGAGAGATACCATTATCCCTAGGCAAAGGTTCTTCTGACACATCAGGTACTGAAACCAACCACAGTCCCATCAGTATGAAGGCTCAAGACATAGATGTTAGGATGCCAGCAAGCAATGTTAAATAGGCTATTCTAGTCCTGCAAGAAAAAGGATTATTCTCACCTATTGTTTTGTAAGCCAACTGAGAAAATATGCTTGACCTTTTTGAATATAACAGTGGAGTTGGCAAAAAGAAATACAATGTGGGCTCTAAATTGACCATATAAGTTAAGAACATCTTGACTGAAATCACATTCAAAACCAGGGTTAACTGATGCAGTCACTGCCCATGCACAGAATGTAGAACTACCAGTTCCTCCTTGATAATCAGGTATTACTAAGCACATTATGGAGCTGTGCATAGCCTATGAAACTGCCAAACTTCACAGCCTATGAAACTGGCACGTGAGAATCACATCCTGAAGGGCTCATAAAACAAGAAAAATCCCAGAACAGACAACTTTGTGCAAACAGATAAAATAACTACAAGTTCACCATGACTTGTGGTTCACATTATGGGAGAATGCACCACTTGTGGATTGCTTTAGTGGTAGATACACTCATTATTTATCAGAAGAAAATGGCCATGACCCTCTTAATGCATTTCTTACTGTTTGCAGCCATATACTCTGATACTGCTATTCCATTAATACAAGAAAACTTGTTATAATACAAGCCATATTGGATGCCCTAGGACTTGAGCTAAAAATCATGTGGTCAGGTCAGGCATTAACTTCTTTGGAAGCCCGGACTAATGGTGAGAGCAAGAAATTATGAAACCTACACTCTACAATTACATCCAGTGTCACTAATCTAAAGCTTCCAGATCTGCAGCCATCCTTTAGTCTGAGCTACTTTCTTAAGAAAACCTCAACTTCCTTTGTCTGTATCAGACTACTGATCTTTAGCTTCCTTGCTCACCAGCCTCCTTGCTCACCTGCCCAAATTACAGGCCTTTTATCCTCACAACCTGACAATAACACATTTTCCTATGCAACTGTCCATGTGCCCTAACAGAAAGAAATCAAAAGTAGGGGGAATTAAGTTGTCACTCTTTGAATCTCACAAAGGTAAGAATGCATCCTGTCTGCCAGAGGAACCAAGCATCTCAATAGGCCTAACAAACAGAAAAAGGACATTCACCCAAAGAAAGATGTTCTAGGAACTGATGTCCAAGAATAAAGATATGACACCAAAAAGTCTTCATTAATCAATAGCATCTTGAGGTATCATAGGACCACATAATCCTGCTCCATGAATCTCCGAATTTTTATAGAATTCTGTAACTTTACTATTTCTAACCAGGCAAAATGTGACAAATACCTCAACATTTTGAGGAATAATGCTGTACTGTTTCTTCAGAATTGGTCTACATGGTTATTTTAATTATATAAGGATAAGTTAATTCATTGTGGGAAACTTATTCATTCTAGTTCTGTGTATGTTGACAAGATAACTAGTCAACTTATTGTATTAAATATTAAAGAATCAAAATAAAGGTAAGATCGCCCCTACCTACATGCTGCTTTAAATGCCTTTATTCATGGAGGTTCAGATGCAGACCTACAAGGATATCATTTTGGAAGCTTTGGCCTGATTTGGAAACCACTGGCAGCAATCCTAGAACTGTATCTGAGTCAGTGGGTAGAGATGGAGGATGGATTTTTTATAATCTGCTTTGAGGTTTTTATATAGGCCTTGGCTGATGGTGTTGTAATGATGTTTTTGTATTGTACTTGGTCTGTTTTATAAAGAAGTTAGCTGCTTTCATAAGCCAGGAATGCAGGGCATACAATTTAGAAATAAAAATATATTAAAGTGACTGTTACTGATTTTGTTATAGCATGCAAAGCAAGGATCTTTCAAAAGATTGACTAAAGCTTCCTATTTCACCACTATGCAGTACAAAAACATACTCAAAAGAAACCAATAGCAAGCACATACCTCTTTCATATGTGCAGCAATCATTTCAGAACTGCAATCCTTACCTGATTAATCACATAGACCCCATAATCAAGCTGTTGCCTTTGCAGGATTGGATGAAGATAAAGCAACCAGTATTTCAAGTGTTCATCTCGATTTCTGAATGGGATAATAATTGCCACTTTCTGAAGTGCTTTGCAGTCCTTTGGGGTATAGCGGCCTCCTTCCCTGAGTTCCGGATTTTCCTCCTCCACATTCTTCAAATTCACAGCTTGTGAAAACTCCACACGCAATGGACCAACTGGGAGGAAAAAAAACAACAGGATCACATATGAAATAAGATTGTGGGAGGTAACTGACATTTCATTGGGAAGTATTGCAAGACTTTTTAAGAATCTAATAACTATGGTAAGCATGGTAAATGCTAAGGATTTAATTCTAGCTATGTTTTTAAAGACATTGTATACAAAGCTTGAATCTGATGATTCAGAAATCACATATTGGAATCATAAATGTTGCATCTCCAAGATTTAGAATCCCTACCATAGAAGAGTAGTGTCTAGGCAGAGGGGTTAAAATTGTCCTCGTAAGTATCCTGCCTGTCAAAAGTCAAGGCATGAACTTTCTCTTATTATTTTTAGTTTAAAATTTTAGTTCATTGGCCCCTTCTTCCTGCTGCATTTGACCTGGGTGCTTATGCCCTACATGTTGGCCACTGCTGATTCTGGATTTGCCTCCTCTTGCACTTTATTGAGCAGGGTGGGGAACTGGATCTAGCCCAGCAACCAGATCATATTGCCTATATTGCTGGTGAGCAGCATGACAATGGGGGCTTTGATGTCCTAGATTAAAGAAATAGCCTCAAAGTTTTTGCGTGTGCTCACTTTTTTCCAGTTCTCCCCTGAACACTGTTTTATAGTGAAGCTGAGGGCAGCAGCAGCAGCACATAAAGACACCTTTTGCAGACTGGCCTTGCCCCCAGGGTATTCTTCACAGTTCTGTCTTAAAACTGACTTCACTTATAGGTTTGTGTGCCACCTACTCCAAAGACTCTTTGTTCCCAGACCTTTCAGAGGTCTTACTGTATTTTTAGGTTTGGTGAGAGCATCATGCGTACCATGGGAAACTACATCAAGCTGCTTTTCAGCTGTTTTGTTCAGCTATATTATTCTTTCAATATATGAGATTTGGCCACATCTGTGTATCATCAACAACATATTACAAGACTTTAGGAAGATTTGGGCAGGAGGCTTTTTTTTATTCTCATGGTCAGGTCGGCACTCAAGACAACCTAATAGATGCATCCAACACAGTAGGTTTATTTTTCAAACTTAACATTGTGCCTTTTTGTTTGTGTGTTCTAATCTCACAGTTCAAAAAGTATTGCAGGTAAGAGATCTGTAACACAGTACATTATATCATATTACAGATGGGGTCTTTAATCATAGTTAGGATACCACATCTGCACCAGCCTTTAGGTATTATAGGCTTAAATCAGTCTTGTTAAAAGCTACCCACAGAAATTACATTTTCAGATTATCTACTGTGAAACACTTCTAAACTAAACTGAGTTATTTCTTTTTTACCATTTTAGGGATTCTTTTTTACCATTTAGCCACAAATTACTATTTCAGATAAACTGGTGTTTATAATCATATCTGTGAAGATGGTAATATTCAGAGTATCTAGATGGAAGGTTCCTGGATGAGATACTATCTGGGAACTCCTCATTGTCTTGTTTTCTATCCTGGATTAAAATCAAGGCTGTAAAAGTAACATATAAATAAAATTCAACTTGGCAGACCATGATGAATTTGCTTAATTGTAATCCACAGACTTCAACCCAGCAATGAATACATCGCTATTTAGAAGTGGAAATTTATTACAGTCATTCTTAAACCATCTTGCTAACTGCCATGAGTAGGGGAGAGGGGGGACAGAGGCATTAGCTTTTTTTGCTCTTTTAAAGAAAAACTTTCAGCACTAACCACATGCAAAACAAAACCTCTTTTGGGTTTAGCTCACCCACTGAAACTACACCTACCCTTCCAAATGCTTCCGCATCAAAACTATGAAGCAAAAGGGATCACCAACACTACAGCTGACAACCCATTTGCCTGGTTTCAGCACACTCTCTAACACAAACATACACACACAACCCCGTCCTTTTTCCAAATTACATTAGCAGCTCAGAATACCTGGAACGAGATCATGTAGCAGAAGGCTCCAGAAAGTCTGAGAAAGGACAACATTTATTCTTCTTAAGGAAAATGAGACCTGGCGGTGGAAGACTGGATGTTTAAACACGGTTCTGCCCCAATCTTATAAAAACAAAGGGTAGGAGGGATGTGGCCACAGTAATTCCAGCTTTGGCAACATTACAGCTAAATTACTGCATTCTGTACTGGGCAGATCAGATGACGTGCTACAAGAAACCAATAAATTAAATTAAAGATTCCTACAAGCTCAAAGTAAGGATAGAAAGAGATTACCATGCACGTGTGCACTTGTGTGCATCCACATTTCTGCATGGTTCTTTGCTTTGGTCTTGCCTCCTTCTAATCAGCTTCTATCAGATTGGGTTACATTCCTGCTTGGGGTGTGAACTGCTCATTCAAGAACCACAAATGCAGATACTTAGCAGGGCTGCCCAGAGAGGACAATACACATTGCATCTCCACTGCCTGAGTCACTGCTCTAAAGTGCCTTGTCATCAAGAGGCACGCCCGGTTTAGAGATTCGTACAGAGGCTGTTCCAAACTCTAGCAATGTTCTAAAGCTGCCTTCTACAAACTACTACTTTCCAAATGGTTTGGACTACAACTCCTATAATCCCCGGCTGAGCTTCCATCAAACTTCTCTCTGGTTTTCGGGAGACTAAGCTAAAGTCTTAGCCAATTTGAACAGCTTTATCAGCAAAATGCTGTGCAAGATTGGTCATGGTGTCCAGAGAAAGGATCTGGCTGTTGGCTTTTCCCTAAGGCAGGATTAGTTACCCTCAAAAAGTTGCTGGATGACAATGTGTGGACTTAGTAAGGAAGAGAAAAAAAGGTGCTTTGCCACTCTTATCAGTGCAATGTAGGCCGAAACACTGTATTTGGCCAGAATCATTTTTTGTCCTCCACCAGTGCTCTAGGCATTGTTTCTGCTGCCTCATTTCTGGAAACCCTCACCAAGAGTCCAAGTGAGATTGACCAGCAGAAAGAGGCTTCTCAGGGGAAATCTCATTCAGTTCTTTATTTCCCTCCTGTTGCCAGTGGCTCACCAAGCATTGGGCAGAGGTGTCCACTAGATTACTGGGAGCTTTCTAAGTGCCCTTTGGAAACAGTTGGATCCATCAGGCACCTGGGGCAGATTTTCCAAATGGGTCCTGCCCCACAGAGGTCAGAGATGGCAGAATTGCACATTTTTCACAGCTCCCAAGTAGTGAACAGACCACTATTACAGAAAGCTTGAAGCATTTAAAACAAGTTTTTACTACTTTAAGCTCTGGACCTTTTGTAGAGCTGTAGCAGATCCCCCTTTACATTCTGCTTAATGTCTGTTAAAGAGTGATGCTGCAGAACTTCCTGGCAAGAACCCTGAGAACAAAGTCAACTCAGGAGTCTGACACTGCCCACCTCAGTTAAATCTTGATCCAACATGGAACTCATTCTAAGTTACCATTTCCCCCCACAAAGCTCTTTTACCTTTCCTTTAAAAGTTAATTTCAACAATTGATTTTTCCACTCCAAATGGTCACATAAGCTAGAACATGTATGTACTGAATTCATAAATTCATCCATAGCCCATCATCTGAAACAGGCTATGACTGAACCCAGCACAGCAGACCATTTTTGATAATTTCCAAGGTATTATTAGATCAATGTAGGAATGCATAGTGTCTACTTCTGAGCCAGTGGAAAGAGCTCACACTAAATTCTCCAAACCCTGGTTTGATCAAGAGGCGTGTTCATGCCAAAGCCTTAGTGATCACCACCCACAAAGCCAATACAGACAGTAATGCTCTCTCCTCCCAGGAAATCTTTTATTTCCAAAAACAGAAATACAAGGTTCTCCTGAGTAAGAAGTGGGCAAGTCAGTTGGCAGAGTGGGACAGACTGATTCAGTCAGTCCTAGCCAAAAAGGACACCATGATCTGGCACCTTGTTTCTTTTGTGTCTACAAGACCTGGAATGGATAATCTAATATCAATATCACATTAATATAATTAAACTTGGATACTACTATAGTGTGTTGTTCCAAACCATAGTCAAAGGTTCGGACATATATCCAACAATCCATAATTCTCTCCCTGACTGGCCCCTTGTCTCCAAACCAGAGATAATGAACTTGATTGCCTATCTTAAAAATGGTAAAGCTCCTGGAGAGGACTTGATCTGCCCAGAAATGCTAAAAAAAAATCCTGATTGCTGGGCTACTGTTTTAGCTTCCTTATTCAGTACCATCAACACCTCCCTGCAGATCCCCAAAGAATGGACCAATTCCATTATAATATCAGTATACAAAAAAAGCAACAAAACCAATCCAGGTAACAGAATAGTAGTTTCTACTATTCTTACTATGTAGAATTAGCAAATTATATGCTAAGCATCTTTTTTTATAGGCTTGCTGATCAAATGATCCAAGAAAAAAATTTTAGCAATCAAGCAAACCGGTTTTAGACCAGGTTTTCCTATTGCTGATCAATGTATCACTTTGCATTACTTCTGTACTCAGTACACTCCTGAGGTGCTCTCTATGCTACTTTTATAGACCTGAAAGCAGCATTTGATCCAATCCCTCATGAGAGGTTGTGGCAAAAACTAGCAGCTTCCTTTACTGATTGCCAGCTCCTGATATTATGAGGTTGCATGAATGCACTACAATGCAGGTCCAATGCTCAAATAGAGGAGAACTGATCCTATTCCAACTTCTAAGGGAGTTAAACAGAGATGTATCCTGGCACTATGTCATGCTCCCATATACAAGGTTTTACATGATATCCACCCCACCCTTTGAAGTCATATAAATCTCTTACATGGGAGGTGGTGTGTATTTACTATTCTGATAGATTCTATATATTCCTTCCTTCAACATCGCTGAGCGTTAGGATTATCTAAAGCTAATGCACTGTATACGGCCTAAAGTACAATGGCTCATGAGTTCAATTCCCAGTAGGGGGTTTGAACTTCACAGAATAATATCTGGCTACTTATGTCTAATGTTTCCCAAAAAAAGATGAAACTGGTCATGTACTGCTTCTTGGTCACCAATTATGTGGTCGTTTCTTTAAATTAACAGTGATTTGTGCCAAGAAGA